CACAAAGATTCTCAAGCAGTTGTAATGAGATCTGGTCCAAATGTTTATAACAATAGTCAGCTCTGATTTGATGAAATCAGTATACATAATAGGAGAGTATCAATTTAATCAGCAAAGACATGAAATTATTTATTTTGATAAGGCAAGAATATTTTCTTTCAAAGCTAACAGGTATTTTATTATGACACGGTTGAATTGTTTTATGCCCATGTTATCACCTTATTATAATATTAGTGTATATGAATCCAAACAAGACTGAAAACATGAAGGCTTTGACCTTATCAACATTACATTTCCCTCTCTTATTCTGCCTTTGATAACATCAGTTTTGTATGTCTAACAGACGTAATTTTTCAGCTATTTCTATGCAGAAATTTTGAAATTTTGAAGTCTTGCTTTGATTTGGGATGAAAAAAACATTGAAAATGAGTATTTCCTGAGAAACACGGATTCTGAGTTTTTACAAGCTCTAGTAAACTTGAAAATCACTGATTTTTTAGCTCAGGGATCAGTTCATCTATTTCTCTTGGGAGAAGACTTAACAAAACTGCAGTTAACATACGGTCTATACCCTACCTTCTTTGTTAGAAGTGTATCTGGAATTGAAATCTCTCAAGATCATTCAGTTTTTCCTTTTATGCATTGTTAGCTGGTCCTATAGAGCCATCCATCCAGTCCTCTGCTCAGGTCTGGTGGTCTTTTATCCAAGCATCGCAAGAGGATTCAAGTTCTGGGACAGTAAATCTAAACTGAAAAATGCTACTTTTTGAATTAAGCACTATCCATCTCCCCTTTTTAAAATCCACTCTGCCCAGCTTTAAAATTTTGTAGCGGATTTGTATGATTACATTTCTGTGGATGGATTCACTCTCCTAGAGCAGAGACAAATTAAATATGTGCTTGTCTGCTATGGGGCAGTTATACTCGATGTTTTTTAATCAATGTTCATCCTCTTTCTACGTTCCTTTTATGGGAAAATGTTAGAAGAGAAAAATCTTAGGAAGATCTTAATTGCTAGAAGCACTTACTAGACTGTCCTTTTGGATTCGTATAAGTGACCACAGTACATGTAGAAGCTAGCCTCATCTACTGCACACTGTCTGCTTTTATGTCTTTGGGAGCTATTTCTGCCTGAAGAATGTGTTCCTAGAGTACATTTTCAGAGGCCCTTATTCTACAGAACTGGGTACAACTTTCTACCCCAACCTTTTTCAGAGAAAAAACCAAAAGAGATTGCACAAAACCAGTCCTGCAGAAATTCACAAGTTTTGCAATCTCTCCATCATGATTAAAAATGAAAATTATGGAAAAAATTGAATGCTTTGTCACTTCAAATAAAAATGACATTTCTTTCCTACAGTCTCAATTTTACTTTTAAGCCAATAGTTCTAAAATGCTCAAATACACAAATAACATTTTATGCCAGGTCAAATGAAACATTTAATCCGATCCAAGACTGTTTTTGGACTTTTTGGTTTGCCAAATCTTTGTGGGTCAACTCAAAATATTTTATTTATTTTCTTGAATTGACAGCAAACAAACAGAAGTGAACCAGTTATTCACATAGCTTTAGTTGAAAATGATCTGAAAATATAGAGAGTTTGGTCATGAGAGTGAATGACCTCCAGTCCCAGACATATTCCTTCTTGGCTATCTTTCCCAAAAGATTTGATTTTGCCTTCCCAGCCTAAGTTTTACTTCCCTTGTGTTTATTATTTGATAAAGTGCCAGCAAACGTACTTGTACGAGATCAGCAACACACCAAAGATTATTTTCTTGCTGTGTTAGTTGGATTCTTAAGCTGCTTGTGGCTTTTTTGATGTTGAAGTGGGTTTTATTCCACTGTCTGTCTGGGCTATATCACTGCTACAACTTCAGCGCCAGAAGTTTTGTGCACAGGCGAGGCTAAAGCATAATTATAATTGTAGGTATAAGGATTTTTATCTGATGCTCTCCCCCTGGTTAGGCTTACTATTTCTGGACAAAAATCCACCCGAATTAATTACTGATATAACAATCCAACACTGCTGTTATGTAACATGCACTTAACTTATCTGCAGGACTTTCATTTTAAGCATAAAATTCAAATATTAAACGTGTTTTCCTTGACAGGCCCCCTGATAAGTAGAAGATGCCTAGGAACACAGTAGTACTTGTGCAGATGCCAGAACTGAAGCCCTGGCTGGGTACGGCATGACGCAGAGGGGCAGGTTTGCGTCGGCTCTGGAAGCAGAGCTCAGGCGTTTCTGCAGTCCAGATGAGTCCATTAACCTCTGCTGACGCTCAGAAGCTCTCAGCTAATACTGCTTTCCTAAACAATGATTTACTTTGAGCTATCGCACACTGTTGTATTTTTCTGAGAGACTACTTAGGATGCAGTGATTAGGAGATATGTTTTCTGCTCCCTTGTAAGGCGAGGCTAGGGGAGATAAATGGAATTGACTGATTGCAGAACAATAAACTTCTCAGCTCCTCTGGCCTTTCTGAGAAGGAGGGAAAGGTTTGCTCACCTCATCTACACTTCTCTCTTTAACCTCCCTGTGTAACTGTGATTAGCTGCAATATGTCAAAAGCCACACGTGCCAGTGCAGGCAGCAGCTCAGGTATTAAGTTGAAGGAACATTACATTAGCTTTTTAGCCAATTAACATGGCTGTAGGGGGGACCATCTGGAATAAATCTGCGAAGCAAACAGTTCACAGAAACCCATCTGGCAGCTCTACGGATTGTTGTATTTGTATGGTACTTCATTAGAAAATAAATATACATCTTCCATCTCGAGCATGAAGCAAAACAGTATTAAACCAGATCTCTGATAGTTAATACAACTGTCTCTACTAAATGACACATTTGTAAGAGTTGTGTGAATCACTGCAGGGAAAAGGTTGCAAAAACTCTAGTGACTGCAGTTATGTGTTGGCACAGCCAAAACAACTGCTCCTGAGTTAATGTGGAAATGTATTTCTCTCTTGGTTTGAGGTTGCAAAAGCCTGCTTTGATAACATTGCTAATATCAGCTAATGATTCAGTATGCAGAGAAGGAGCAAATCATGCATCAGCAAACTGGAATAAACCAGTCAGCTTTAGCCTGCTTCTGGAACTTCATACTTTGCTGTGTTTATATTTTTCTCCATTAGAGACCCACAGCAGGAGCTGTAAAATTTGTCATCACTAGATTTATTCCTGCCAAGGGTTTGCTGAACACACTAGGCTATAGCATAGAAATGTTGGACCTGGCTAGTATTGATGCTTCAAGGATTAACCATCCACCCTCTTCCTCCTTAAGACCATTTCTGTGTTCAGAAGGTGCCACAGGATGTACAGTCAGAACTGTTAAGATGGACAAAATCCATCTTTGAAGCCGCAGTAGCAGAAAGTGCTGCAGTTTCCCGCCGCAGACCCCGAGCAGCTCCGTCCACTGATGGACACCTCTACAAGGACTGGTGTATCGGCTAGCAGAGCTCATCGCACCTCTGCCCGGTGGTGGGAGCAAACCCAGGACTTTGCAGAGCTCCTCCACATTCAGGCTCCTGGGTGAGCCGTGGCAAAGCACAGGGAATGTGTTTATCAGCCAGCTGAGGAATCAGCAGCGGTAAGCATACCAACACAATCAACAAATATGTGGCTTATGGGAAATGCATATTTTATGTCAGAACAAATGGCATTTCTACAATCGATTTGCATAAGTATACAGGGAAACAGATTACTCGTCACAAAAGCACCTGCTATTAGAAATAAGGTATTTTCAGACTAATCAAATTTTCCTGTTTTCTATACCAGAAAATGTTAGCAATTAGTAGCAATTACAATAATATAACTAGTTGCAAAACATTCAAACAAACTTCCATTTGCAAAGTGTTCAGATATGTAAATAATGGCACTAGGTATGAGTATAGGATTAAATCTGATCACTTTCAGCTGGTTTAATGCCACCTGATCTTTTCTCAAGAAAAAGGTCTAATATGGCTAGGAAGAAAAATACCACACTTAGCACGGCTCTCCCTAATTAGCCCTGCTAAGAAACCACCAAATGGAGCAGAGCACTACACTTCTGCACCTAGCCAGCTCTGGATGTTTAGTTCAGGTATCTTGATGCAGTAGTTCATTGTGTTGTAGAGACATAGCATACACCATAATTATGCTTATCAGCCTGCTCACGCCATAATTAATTAGGGAGCTGTTCTGAAGACCAGGGATTTTGGATATATACAGTGATGACAATTAAAATGTTGGCATTTGTCAACAGTCACTTCACCCCAGGCACTACCTAGCGAGCCACAGTCTGCTGTATACAGGGAACTGAAATAACCATGGTAACTCTGGGTATATAGTGACATTTTAATGATCACCACCACCTATCCTCAGGCCATCACTTGCAGAACTAAATGGCCCATCAAGAAGCAGATGAATAAAGTGGCATCCATACAATGCATGAAAAATGCTAAGCACTTTTAGGGCTTAAAGCCATTTACATCTACCTCAGAAGGGAAAAAGGAGAGATAAACATAATACAAAAACATGTATTATGAAGAAATAATAAAACTACCATATCCTACTGTAGCAACTGCCACTAAAATGTCAGTATCTACCAATAGCTAGCACAAATTGGTATCTAAGATACCAAAATTATTTCCTATTTTAAGTGTAAATGCTTCTTACTACATACTGACTTTATAAATGGCAGCACCAGTATCAAAGGTCTTTCATGCTCAGTCACTGCCAAAGTGCAGTAGAAAAACTATCAGTAATAAAACACAGCAATTCTCAAGCAAAGAGGAGGATGCAATACAGTACTTTATTAACACTTTCATACAATCTGACCTGTTTTTAAAGAAGAAGATGGTGGAATCCTCTATTTTATTATTTTTTCATCATCCTGATGAAAAGTCTGGTTTCTTAAAGCATTCAGGAATTATACTATTTTCTCCATGGTGAGGGAGAGGATTTGTGTGTATATAAAAGTATCTGTAAAACTGTCTTGTATTTAGAAGTTTCACTTACCAAAATGAAGAGACAACCAGAGGCAAGTTTTGTGTGTTCAGGAATAGTAGAAAACACGGACAAGATCAAGCAACCAAACACAAGGAGAAAACTGAAAAAGAAAGAATATTATAATTGTTAATATTTTTCAGAACACTGATTCAGTATCTATATTGATCTTACTTCACCAACATTAAGAGAAGACTATCAATGAACAGTCTTCATTAATAGAAGGGAATTCAACCACTACTTAACTTAGTTCATTAAAGACGTTAGAATAGCCTATTACTAAATCCACATGCTTCTGAGCAGCACTGGTAGAATTAATGGAAACAAACACAAGAAACAAGATTTTCTTGGAGAAATGACCCAATATGCACAGACACTACTTTTGGTATCACAATCCTGTACCTTTATGCAGTCCAGATACTCTTAGTGGCTCTAAAGAAAGATCACCAACGGGAGAGTCCTCTCCCCAGACTGAAAAATCATTTCTCCCACAGTTGACCACAGATATCTGCTCTATAAGCTTATCAAAGAGCTAAGATGCATATCGCACCTAACTGCTATGACTTTGCCCATCTTAAACAACTTCCTTCTGAGCAACAGACTTCACGTACAAACTACCACAAGCTGAGAGGTAGTTGAGTTATGGCATCACTGACCTAAATGACCAGGCTCCATTCTAGGAACAAACTTAATATTATACAATCCATTGAAGAAGTTAAAACAAAGGAGTGAATCAAGAAAGTCTTACACAAGTCACGCGACTACAATCAGGAAAACAAGACCACAGTTTTAAGCTTGCATGAACTTGCATGTTTCATGGTACTGACGAATACATGCAGGCAAAGCAAAGCACCGACACATAGCTAAATCTCTTTGCAAAGAAGATGCAAACACTTGGTATCACTGTAGAAATTCTGCATGTCTGATCCTTACAGCATACAGCACATGTGGTGTGTATAGACATGCACCTGCAGAGCTGGTATTGCTTTGAGGCCTATACTATGGATGATAAGGAATATCCTTTCTTATTGTACTGCTACTTTCCTATATGACCTGCTACACCACCTGGATGCTCACAAGTCTATGGGGCCGGATGGGATCCACCTGAGAGTGCTGAGAGAGCTGGTGGAGGAGCTTGCCAAGCTGCTCTCCATCATTTATCAGCAGTCCTGGTTAACGGGGGAGGTCCTGGACAACTGGAGGCTTGCCAATGTGACGCCCATCTACAAGAAGGGCTGGAAGGAGGATCCGGGGAACTACAGGCCTGTCAGCCTGACCTCGGTGCCGGGGAAGATTATGGAGCG